TATCTATTTCTTGCCGTCTGTGCTTCTCTAGGTGAATGTTTTGACCACTTGCTTCTCATCCCTAACCTGTACAGAGCTCAAACCCTTAACCCCCACTGCTGCAAGAGACCCATTTTCAAAATCTGCAGCTGGGCTTCTTCCACATCAGCAGTGAAACAAGAGCCTGCAGAGGCCACACCTGGTAACAGCATTTAAAATGAAAGGGCAGGAGGCACTATACACTAAGGGTAGTGGGAGTGTGGAACAAGCTGCCCAGCCAGGTTATAAAAAGCCAAGACCCTGGCTTTGATCAAGACACGTTTGATTGCTCCTTAATTGATCTTCTCATGCAAACAGGCTGGACAGGCCACCGAGAGCGAGCTCGTTAGTGAGCCTACTGCTGAGTAATTTGTTGCATCCCCTCCCACCTCGGCTCTCAAGTGTCTAGAACATTACAAAAAAAAAATTCCAGCCCACAGCCATACAGAGAGACAAACCATCCATTTCAGGGAGATATGAAAATATTTTTATTATTTTTTTCTTTGTATACAGTGTCAAAGGTGGGCTGAAAAAAAGAAACAACAGCTCTCGTTTGAAAACCAGGTGCACAGCTGGAGGAAGGGGTTGTGGGTTATCAGACTATGTGCAGTACTGGAGGACCAGAGGCAGGGGGCGCTGTTCATTTCTTTCCACCCTTCTTCTGGTAGTCCACGAAGAAGTCGTTGCAGGCCACGCTCAGGGCGCCCACCATGGTGACGTACTCCTGGAAGTCCACCTCGCCGCTCTTGTCGTGGTCCAGGGCACCGAAGATTTTATCAATGGCAGTCTTGTCATTGGCTTTCTGTGGGGAAAACAGGGAGGGAGATCAATTAACTGGTCCAAGTTGCATCTTAATTAGCCCAGATGGCAACCTTCAGCCTGCCGACTGAAGACCCCGTCCATCAGAAGGGGCCCAGGGGCTCGTTAGAACCGGCAGGCTGCCACACGCGCCCTGGGTCACCCTCACGGACTGCAGGGGGCGCCAGAGGAGCAGAACTTCTACTCGGGCTGCCACAGCCCCGCGCCAGGCTTTCAGCACTCAGCGTCGCCCCGGTGTGCAGTGTGTAAGTGAGCCATGTGTGCAGCTGGGTGGGTTGTGCAGCTGTGGGTGTGGGGGTGTTAGTGTGTAGCGTTAGTGTGCAGCAGTGTGAACGGCGGGTGTGGGCGTGTTAGTGTGCAGCGAGTGCGAGAGAGCGTGCGCACTCACCCCCAACAGATCCCCCAGCTCGTTCGTCAGCAGGTCCTTGAGCTCCGCCTTGCTCAGGGTGTACTTGTCCCCCTCCTTCCCGGAGTACTTGTGGAAGGCGTCGATCAGCAAGGCCATGGCCTGTTGTATGGCACTCATCGTGGCGGAGATAGAGAGAGAGAGAGGCACGGGCTGCAGGGAGAGACAGACAGGCATCGCTGTGAGAGCAGGCCGCCATTACCCGACTATCGGCGTCGCCGGACTCCACACCTGACAGGCGGGTCCTTCCCACTGTGTCAGAAACCCTTTCTAGCATCGGCTTCACTAGCAGACACTCAAGACAAAGCGCTGGGGAGGTTTGAAAGCGAACGTCAGAACGCTGAGCCCCAGGGGCGCTCCGCCGTGAACGCGATCGGCCACAGAGCAGCGGAGCCCATCTGTCTATTTGCCCGCTTGGCTTGTTCGATCATTGGTAGCTAAGTAACCCCCCAGGATTTCCAGAGCATCAGATTCAACATGGCTGGGCACCCTGTTCCACACTCCCACCACCCTCAGTGTAAAGGCAGTTCTCAGTTTGCCCTTCCCTGTAGTTTCTGCTTGTGTCCCCTGGCTGCTACTTGACGGTCGGTTCTGAAGGTGACCATTCGACGGAGTCGGGTTCCTGAACACCCGAACCTGAAAGTGACCAAGCTTAGGGTCTGGCATGGCCGGTTTGTGGGGCAGAACCCGAGCCCAGCACAGTTCAACACAGTGCACACCCTGGAGAGTGCGACGGCGCCGCCCACTGTTAAGACGCGGCGACGACGGCATTAGCGACCTGCAGGGAGGCGTCTCCTGGGTTAAAGCCGGAGTAAAATAGGGAAAATGTCGCCCCTCTTTAACAACCGCGGTAAGCTTCTCCGGCTTTCCGTCCGTCCATCCCCTAGGGTGCGCCACGCCCAGCCGGCGGCGCTGCTCTGCGCTCTGGTGCCGCTTTCAGCGGGGGGGTTAATTAACGAGGAGGTGTGTAGGGCGTTGTCTGCCAGACGTGGCTGCCGTGTGATCTACCGAAGCCCGATAGATTCACCCCCCACTCTAGGGTGTGGCACACAACACGTTACGGGACTACTACTCACAAAGCTCTGGGCCAGGGGCGCTTCGCTCCGAGGGAGAAGTTACCCGGCCTCTCTCTCTCTCCCCCTGCAACTGTCGCTCCTCTTAAACGGGCTACAACCCCCCCCCCCCCCCCTCTCGCCCTCTCTGCCTCTCCCGACGAGCCGTGATCTCGCACCTGCGGCCCTGGGTTCACTGGATCCCACTGGATCGCTCGGAATCCTGCGGAGACGCAGGCGCTGGGAAAGCGCGCTGTGCTCTGCCGAGGGAGGAGGGAGGCAGACCCGCCTGGACCGCAGCCCGCATTCCGGAGCCCTGACTGGGCGGCCCGGCCCCCCCCAACCTCCTCCTCCTCCCGGCGTCAACGCAGCCTGACTCCGGGGGGGGGGGGGGATACATTTTCGCCAAAGGCAACTATTTCTACCGAGTTTCGTTTCACTCCGCCGTCTCCAGCCCCCCGGAAAGCTCACAGCTGTGCGTGCCCGCTTCTCGGCGGCCGCCTGCTGACGGACTCCGGTTTGCGGGAGGAGAGAGGAGGCGAGACTCGGTGCCAGTTCGTCACAAGAGCGCAGTGCCCGAGAAAGAGCACTGAGAGAAGTACACATAGGGGGGGGGAGAGAGAGGGGGGGGAGACGAGGGAGGGAGCAACAGTTCTCCCAAACTCGTCTGGACTCTCCGACTTTCTTTTTTTTGTAATTGCACCAAACTACTGACTCTGCAAAGCGAGGCGCCGCCGAGCGGGGCTCCCCTTCAGCGACAACGCCCCACGCCGCGCAGCAGACACGGAAACGCGGCGAGGGCGCGGAGGAGACTCACCTGGTCAGAAGAGCGGAGGACAGGCGAAGGGAGTGAGGAGGACCGGGCGGGCTCGCCCTTAAATAGGCTCGAGTCCGCTCCCCGCCCCCCCGGCTCCCCGCCCCCCGGCCGCTCGGAGGGCGGTGAGCCGGGCCTGCGGCCTGCAGGCGGTGCCGTGTGACTCGCTGCTCGCGTCTCCCGAGTCCGTCCTCCAGCGCTTCAAGTAAATCGAGTTCAAAGAGCTTTACTGGCGCGACCGATGGGTGACAAGCGCCGCCAGTGCAGACCCAGTTAACACCAGACCTGCAGGCATTTTCAGTACAACGTACTGCTGCACATGTGCGCTACCGCTCGCTCTTCGCCTTCCCCCTTTTCTCACGGAGCTCGGAGAGACCCGGGGCTCCCCTCTCCGGCTCGCGCGGACGGAACTGGGGTGCGGAATTGATTGGGGGGGGAGAGACCCCGGCGCGCTCTGCTCTTTAGCTGCTTGGAAGCGAGTTGCTTCGGGTGTCTGCTATCCCTGTAAGAGAGTTTGGGGTGTGGGCT